TTTTGGTTTTGTTTCTTTTTTTCTTTTATGGAGCAATTGTTTGTGGTTGTTTGTGGAGAAGATTCTTTTACAGAGTTTTTTTTTTTTTTTTGCCAAATCTGGGTTTGAGAAAGGAAGAAGAAGGTAAGAGAGAGAGAAAGAATAAGAATAAGAAAGAAGAAGGATGAGCAGGGAAAGGAAAGAGGAAAAGAGGAAGAAGATGAAGTTTGAGAGAGAACTCAGATCTGAGTTTGTGGTAAGGGAAAAGGAAAGGTAAAGGAGAGAGAAAGTGAAAGAGGAAGAAAAGGTGACATGGATGGAAAAAAAATCATTATTTTTAAATTAAAGAAAAATGCCAAATCATATAAAAAAATTATTTTTTTTCCATGTCATTAGTTAAAGAAAAAAAATGATTTGTTGCAAGTTAACGTACCACCTTTCCATTTAACTAACGAAAGGACGGTTTTGGTACCGAAAATAAAAGTTTAAGGATAATTTTGGTACTTTTTAAAGTTGAAGGACAATTTGGTGCCAAAGTGAAAAGTTGAGGGATCAAAATGGTACTTTAACCCTAAATTGTTAGAGTCAAACTTGAAAATATTATTGAATAAAATGATTTTAATTTATTATCTAATAAATATTAATTATTATTAACGATATATCAATCTGAGTGAAAGGAATTCGATTATTTTTAAGTAAAATCCTGAGTTTAAGTTTTATAAATAAAAACATACACTTGGAGAGTTTCCAAATTAGTCAAGATCCAATTAGACTTCTGAATAATGAGGGATTAGTAGCAAAAAAAATAAATATTAACTATTTTATTTTCAACTTGCTAATAAATATAGTTATCAACTATTTTTAACAATCAAACCAAACAGAGTCAATATTTAAAAGACAATATTTAATAAATTGTGTGGCTATAACCATGCTCGTCTCAATAGTTGTTATACTTTCTACCTTTATCGATATGTTAAATGCTTTATACTAATTTTTCTGTTATTAAATGTTTTAATGAATTTTTTATTACAAAAAGAAGGGATAAGAGACTATTGTTTGGAGAATAAACTTGAGGTTGAAAACCTAAGTTTTCTTAGTTTCAACTTTAAGTTCATGAAATTTTTAGTTTTTAGTTTTTAGTTTTTTTTTTTTTTGGTATATCATATGCAAGACCATTCAATGGGAGATTGTTCTTCCCTTCCCTTAACCCCTCCTCATTTGTCTCAAGATTCAAACTTAAAATCTTTAACTTAGAGCTTCAAACTCTTACCCATTTAAGACACCACCTTGAGGGCACAAAAATATTCTTAGTTTTTGTTTGTTCTACCCTATTATCCTTACAGAGTTCAAGAGCCCCCTTGGGTAAAGAGAGAGAATGAGAGGTAGAGAGAGAGTGAGAGTGAGCAACAACAGGGCACACAGACGGCAGACGACACGGAGTTGGGAACGGTCCAGATATCAGAGAAGGAACAGAGATGGGCAAACTGATGGGTTACTAAACAGAGGACGAAGGCAGAATCAAGATGTGTAGGGGTATGACAGAAGGGTGTATAATCAAGCTACTACTTTCTTCTTCACGAATTTTCCTGATGACTGGAGTCATGAAAGTATGTGGCTCACGTTTCGGAAATATGGAAGGGTCTTGGCTATTTATTGCTCACAGAGGAAATCTAAATCAGGTAGTAGATTTGGTTTTGTAAGATTCTTAGATGTTAAGAATGAGGTGGAGTTGGAACGAAAGCTTGATCAGATTAGAGTAGGAATGTCCAAACTTTGGGTTAATAGACCAAGGTTCAAGAAGGAAGAGGTGAGAAACAGAGCTGTTACAAAACAAGTGGAGATATATCCTGTCAAACCATGGAGTTCATTTGCTGAGGTTGTTAAAGGGAACCAAAGGTTGGAAGTTAGCAATGTAAGTCATTCTCAACCGGTTCCAGGTGCTATAGTTTACAAACAAAAGCAGCAAAATATAGTCTCATCCAAATCAACAACCCAAGTATGGATAAAGAAAAACAATGAACGTGCAAGTGCTGGCTTGGAATTTACAGTGAAGGAGGAGGACCTCCAATGGCTGGAAGGGTGCTATGTTGGAATTGCACACTCTGTCACAATTATCCTGACTCTGCAGGAAAAATTCCTTATGGAAGGTTACTTTTCCTGTAAAGTTAGACCTCTCAGGGGACGATTAGTCTTATTGGAGGGGAGTGATAAAGATGAGATTAAGGAATTGGCTGAAACAACTCCGGAATGGCTGGGGCAATGGTTTGAGGAGGTAAAGCCATGGGCTCCATCAATGGTTGCTAGAGAAAGATTCGTGTGGATCCGTTGTCAAGGTGTTCCTGTCCATGTTTGGGGGCCAGAGTTTTTCTCTACAATTGGGGCTGTATGGGGTAAGGTTATCTCCTTAGACGATAGCACTAGCAGGAAGTTAAGATTTGATATTGGAAGAGTGTTGATCTCCACTCATATCATGGAGTTCATTTCAAAATCCATGATCATTTCAGTGAACGGTGTACCATATGTGATTAAAGTAATGGAGGAAGAGGCCACCAATGGCATCTTTTCCATGAAGTCGGACCATGTGTTCAGAGAACTAAGTTTTTCAGATGATCATAGCTCCGAAGCATGGTCCCTGAATAGTGATGGTGAAGAGGCCTTCGATGAATCT